GCAAGAAAGAAATTCGAAAAAATAAACTAGAGTCCTATTTTGCATCACAACAATAACCTTATAAACACTCAACTGGGTCAGAAACCTAAACCAGGTCCGAAAGGGATAAAAACTACATTATCACAAGTTAGAAACTTCAACGAATTATTCAAGACTTAAGCAATTCGAATCAACTTCTTCGTGCAACATGAAAGTTGTATATCTTTTCCTTAGCTTTCCAACAACTGGTAGAACGCCTCAATCCAATTCCTGTAGCTCCAGTTATGATTTTTTTTAATTAAAAGCTGCTAATGCTGAAAATAACAAACAGAAATTAAATAAAGCTGAAAATAAATTAAATTGTAAAAACATCATAAAATAGGAAATTAAACAAACTAAACTATAGAAATGCCTAAGTCTAAACATAGAGGAAGGTGCATCAAAATGCACTGATCAAATTCCCCCACACTTGAACCTTTGCACTCCGAGCAAAGTATTGTCAAAACTCATGAAACACAAAAACATTTAGATACTCATTCTAGGCTGTGAACTCTTCTTTGGTCAAAATCGCATCGATAGGTACTAATTTTGCATACTAAGGATATCGTAAAAACACAAATCCACAATTGTGCGGTCATAAGGCTCCCTCCTATACAAACCAATCCAAATCATGTCGTTATGCCTAAGTCTAACTTACATCATCCTCCTTTTTACTCTCTTTCATTCTAGTGCAATCATATTAAGCCCTTTATCTATCCACAAACATGATAACTGAGCTTGTTAGTGACTATGATCCATATTTTTTTTCAACAATTCAGAATTAGACACTTTTTGTCTTTTTTTTTTAAGGTTTCACAATCGTTAGCCTAAGTGACTGGGTGAGGGTCACCTAACTTAAAAGACGGATTCCTTTTTTGACTTCTTATTAAGCACATGATCATTCACTTATTTGCATCTGCTCAATTACTTAACGTGTGATTTCTAGATGGTGCTGACTGCTAGATAAACTACTTAAGAGCTATTAAAGGACGAGAACTCAAGATTATACCATAACAAGTATTTAAATCGATTTCCATATTTTGGAGACTTAAGGTGTTAAAAGGATACCGATCTTATCAATTGTTCGCAAGTCTCCACAATCTGACCTCAAATTGATCTATAGCCCAAAAATTTCAAAAAATGCATTGTGTTTTTCTAAGTAAACAAATTTTGTTTTTTAAAATGAAAACAAAACAAAATAAAGAAAATTGAAAGAAATAAAACAAAGTAAATGGTTCCCTCCCCCACACATAAAGCATACATTGTCCTCAATGAAAGAACATGAATATAAAATAAGACTGAGAGAAAGGAAGGAACACACCCGGGGAGTCAAGGTGGATAAGTGATCACATAAGCATCCTTTCCCAAAGAGAGATTTCTTACAGTCTCCTCTTTCAAAGTGGGGATCTCATACAGTAGCTTTGGGTAACATCCATTAAACTTGAAATTATTATTAGTGCATTTGCCTTTTATTCTAGGGTCAAAGAAGAATCTTTGATAAATAAAAGTGTCACATTGGCACATAAATATGATCTCTTTTTCCACAACATCAGAGATCAAAGGACTAAGGAGTTGTTTCACTTCTTTTCTTCCCTCTTTAATCGAGGTCCATCCAATTCTCTTATGTTTCTTCAAAACCTGAAAAAGCTTATTTTCTTTATAAAAATCAAGGTTAGAAGAAACTATAACTGGAAGCTTTTTATCCATATCTAAATAAGCATAATTCAGATTGTTATGAAGTGGTTTAAGCTCGAAGGGGGGAGGTTGTTCAATGGATGGTGAGGTTGGGGCAGCAGTGATGTAATGAGCTTCATCTGCATAAACAGCTTCATCTGCATGAAAAATATCACACTGCACGACAACATTAATCTCAGCACAAACGGAGCAAATGTTAGTCTCGGTACATGAATCACAAGAGTAAGTATCATCATAATCTAATAAAGATGGAAAATCAGACAATAACTCTTTTGGATCCACTACTGTTTGGGAGGGTAGTTGGTTTGATTCTTGAGCTTGCTGCATGACATTCACTATAGTGGCAAGTTGTCCAATCTGTGTCTGTAAAGCCTGAAGAGTGGAATCTGTTTGTTGCTGAAACTGGAGATCATTTATAGTCATTTGCTTGACAAGGTCCTCTAGTGAAGGTTCAGAAGGTGTAGAGCACATAATTTGGAATTCCTTCATATGCTTATTTGTATCCTCACCTGCAAGTCCATTAAACCTTGGCAACAAGTATATTAAACCAGATTTCAATTCGAAAGGAATATCACCATCAATATATTCAATACTTAAACCATTATAATGAAAGTCAGGAGCATCAAGCTCTTTTAATTTTCTTTGTTCAGCCATGTTATCAAAAAAAATTAACAAAGAATGAGAAAGCACAAAACCGATTCAGCAATTCAACAAATGCATAAATACCAACAATGGCCCTATTGAGAAAAGGAGTGGGAAAATAGGAAAGCGGTTAAAATAAAATCTAAAAATTATAAAAATATGACTAAAAATCAAATCAAAATCAGAATAAATCGCTACACAAAATTTTGGATTTTTTTTGAAAATATGAAAATAGAAATTAAATCAAATAAAATAGAAAAATAACGAATTTGCGATTTTCAGGGTCAAAATCTTTTAGAATTTTATTCTAAATGAGTATTGTTCATCGATTTTTTTTCTGATTTGGAAAAAATTCGGAGCAAATCGAAACAATAGCTTCCAAACTCACCTGATAGCCTGAAACGCTTACCACTACACTGCAACCCAAAAAATTAACACAAAAAAAAAAACAAAAAACTCTAACAAAACTTTGAAATTAAAATTCTACAATTGGCTAAAATCAACAAGAATCCCCGGCAACGGCGCCAATTTGATCCGCTGTCGCAATCCCTAAGCAGCTTCTGACTTATCATCGGCTATTATAACACCAATCCCTAAGCAGCTTCTGACTTATCATCGGCTATTATAACACCAATCCCTAAGCAGCTTCAATCCTATTCGATTATGATATTAATCAGAAAAGCACTTATCAAAATCATACGAATTATGTTCCTGTTACTGAATTAAGCAAACGGTTAAGAATATAACGAGTTAACGAATTAAGCAAACGATAACACACAATTAAATTTAGGAACATGCATACAATCTAATTTAATCAATTCTATCCTATAAACACAATCGAATTAAGCAAACGATTGCAATCAAATTAAGCAAATGATTCCATAGAAAAAAATTGAACAGAAATCAAATTAAATTGGTATTATAATAACCTCAAAGTGATGGAACCCGTAAGCAGTAGGATTGGCCTTGGGAATTAGTTCTCCATGGAAAATGGGAAAGCAAGAAAGAAATGCCTAAGTCTAAACATAGAGGAAGGTGCATCAAAATGCACTTATCAGTGCCCGAGTGCTACAAGAAACAAATGTATGAAGCATGTTATGCATCTGTCATTTTTCCAGTCAATGGGGAATTACTTTGGGAGAAAAAAGGTTATGTTGAGTTACAACCACCACTAATCAAAAGGCAACCAGGGAGGCCAAAGAATAAGAGGACTAGAGATACCTTAAAGAGCATAAGGGATGACACTCAGCTAAAAAGAGCTAATTTTGGCATCAAGTGCAGTAGATGCCACATGACGGTGCACAACAAAGCAACTTGCAAACATCTAGGTCCAAGTCAGACCGCTCAACCTAAACCAAGTCAGTCTGGTCCAACTCAGCCTGAGGCATCTCAGCCTAATGCAAGTCTCCCTGCACCAAGTTAGCCTGATGCAAGTCTTTCTGCACCAAGTTCAGGTGGTACTAAGTTCAGAATGCTTCATGATTAGAGATCATTAAGAATTGGTTCTTTTGCAACCAGGGATTGTGGGAAAACGCGGTTCATGGGTCAAATCTGTGATCTGGTGGTAGCATCTGAACTGTTGGGGTTCATGTTGAAAGATTGTGGCTCATTTTAGATCCAGGTGGCAATTAGTTCAGCGAGAATTTTAGATGACTCATTTGCTCTTCAATGTCAATTTCAAGATTTGAATCACTTTTGATCCAAGTTTTAATTCATTTTGAGTTTTGTTCTTAATGAGAATTCAAGGATAGAGGAATTTGAGATTCAATGTGGTCTCACTTCAATTTCACTTTTCAAGTTCAGATGTTATGTTGCTTCTAATACTTTCATCAGTCTCAGATTCACTTTTAGAAGTTCAAGAGTGGCATTGCCTTGTTGTGACACCAATAAAAGAAGCTCATGTTATTACAAGAACAATTGTGCAAGCAAAAATAAAAATTCAAAAAAGGTATAAGAGTGTATTTCAAGCCAAATTAATGGAAGATTATGCTCATGGAAAATCATGTACATTACAAGAGAAAATGAAGATAGATTGAGCAAGGAATATGAAATAAATACATTAGCCAAAGTTGTTTTCATGTGATCTATCATCAATACATGGTATATGGTCTGCAACTAAAATAACTGCGGACCGTGGCTTCATTCTTCAAATAATCCCCATATGGCCCACTCCATCTCGTCTAAAGTAACATGTTGAAGATAAGCTCAATACAACATTCCAAAACATGAATGAAAGTAGGGGTCGTGCGGAAATACAGTAAATGCCAACCAACACCGTCAAGTTGTACAAGCTGTCAAAATCACTCTGCTACATGTAATTTGGCCATCACACCATGATTCACTTTTTACGAAGCCGGAAACGCGTAAAAGCAAAGAGTAACTGGCGGACCGTCACACACAGACTCGCACAACTTCACAAACCTGTACGTGATGAATTCAAAAAAAAAGGAAAGAAATAAGTTGTAAGCAAACCGACATAAAGGTACTATTCCACATGAAGTTAATGATTCACAATAATTCACTATGCAATGTCGACCTGCGGTATAGCAAAGTAACCTAACCGTCACTACCACACTAGTCACCATTTGTTTCAATCACAAAGTTGAGTTAGCTACCATTTTTCCTTTCCATTTGCTAGCCAAGCTTTAACTGTATGATTTACTCCCAACCTTGCCCACACTTAAGCCACAGCTCCAGCTGCTGAATCGCACATAATTCATGCCCAAACTATACAACAGATACTGCCTGCAGTTCACAAGGTAAATAGAAATGATAAGTATTGGTACCAAAGAACAAAACCATCAACAAGAATTGTCATAAAAATTAACCTGTGCAAATTCAGCAACAAGTCATTACGCGCACCAGTCCACGCGAACTCCACAGCCGCTGCACAATAGGCAATACATACGCATACGAAAACGGCAGCCAGGAGTATGATCATTGAAGCAAACACACGTAAACCGTAAATAAGCTGTTGCTGATGCGATGGAAGCTGATGCCGGTAATTTTGATGTTCAAGCCATATGGAAATCTCTTGCAGCACACCAATGCGAAATTCGAGTCAAATTGCAACCTGTTGCTATCAGACCAGAGACCACCAGCATAACCGTACGCGCGCGTCATCCACATCAAGTCACGCAGCCCAGATCTTGATACAAGCTGATTCCTGCAAAGAAACTATCCAGTTTTTTTTTATCCAGCCAGCCATGTCTAAATATTGTTACGATTACAAAGAAGTTTATGTTGCATCTCACAATAAGAAGTTATGAGTATTTAAGATTGTTGGAATTGTTTTGACACTTGAAACCAAACACCTATAATTCATGCCGTGAGAGGTGTTGCGGTGGAAATAGGATCACAAACTATTAATTAGTTTGAATCTCAATTCAATTCACAACCGCTCTTTGATTTATCCGAAGGAAAAGGTCAAAAGAGGGAAAACCTATTTTGCATCGTAAACACAATGCGGGGAAAGATCTAGGGTTCGGGGGTTGGTTAAATTTAGGGAAGGTATTAGCACCCTAAACTTCTGTAGTACTCTACAGGAACCTTTTGTTCAAATGTTTACTATTTTGCTTTATTTATTTGCTTAAGGTATATGTACAAAGGGATTAAAAGTGAGAAAATAAACCTAAGGGGTTAATTCTAAGTTTACTCGGCAAGACATCGCATCCTGTGCCTACGTATCCTTACGGGAGTGGAATCAGAGTAATCGTAGTTCCCCTCAATAGGGAGGTTAGAAACTTCTTGACTGTGGTCAAGGTCTCAAGGGGAATAAACGCATCTTAAGGACACGCTTACGTGGAGTGTAGAAACTCCAAATCTCTACGTTGAATTGTTAAGTTGTAATTAGGGTTAAATTAGGTTAGGTTAGGGATTCCGCGGCGGGAAACCCTAAAATGAGCGCGGCGGCTCTTTGACCTAATGCTAGGGGTAAAATTGTAATCTTGCCTGCGGCGAGGCATTTGTGAAAATTAGGGTTTGTGAGGTCGCAAGGGTTTGAAGTTGAGGACTACTGACACGGCGGTCAAACGGCTAGACCTAATTCCTTCGGAGGAGTGAAATTAATTATAAAGATGCGATGAAATTGAATATACATACAACGGCAGAAAATAAAGTGCGGAAAGATAAATGCGACAATTGTCTCGCACAATTACATCCCATAAGCAGTTACAATTATAATAGCTAAATATAAAACCGAAAATAAGTTTCAAATTGAACATAATAGCTGCAAGAAACAAAACAAACAAAAATGTCAGTATGTGGGGTTAGACGAAAACGAAATCAAAATTGAACGAGAAACAAACCGTATGAATTTTGGAGGACTTTTATGGTCTTTTTAACCAAGGATTTAAATTTGTGAAAAGAGAGATTAATTTTAATTAAAAGAGTTTTGAGTTTTAAAAAAATTTATTAATAAAAAAGTGAAAGTTTGGTTAATTATTCTAAAAAAGGAGTTTTAGTGATAATATTTTGAAAAAAAGATTTAATCATTAAAAAAAACAATTGGTTTAATTTAAAAAATCTTAATGTTAGTTAAAAACACGTTTTACTTTAAAGTTATAAAAAAGTTTTATTATTTGAAAAAAACATTTGATTATTTTATTTAAAAAGAGTTTTAATTAATTTGAAAAAGGTTTTTGATTATAAAAAAGAAAGGGTCTTCTTGATTTTTTTTAAAAAAGATAAACAAAATAAAATAACAAATGGAAAAACAATAAATAATAAAAAAGAGGGTTGGGCCGGTCATCACTCTTCTTCTCTCTGAGTTTGCGTGTGTTCCTCTCCTTCTTGTTTGCCTCTCACGGATGTTATCTTCTTCTTCTTTTGCATGACCGCCGATTTGTCTTCTTCATCTCTTTTTCCTGAAAAACATGAAAAGCAACACAAAAATTGTAATTATATTTTTTGATCCTTACGGAATGATGATGGCCGATGATGCTTTGTCCTGAGGCTAGAGGATTTTTGACGGAGTTTGCTTGGATTTTACGAAAAAAGTTCTCCCTTTCTTGTTATGATTTTCGTCCCTTTTATACTTGATTTTTAAATCTTTTTTTTTAATCTCAGATTTAATTTGAATATCTCAATCTTTTTCAATCTCTGATTTGATTTGAATGAATTTTTATGATGATTTCAGATTTGATTCAATGATGGTGATGTTGATATTTAGATCTGATTTTCTTATGATGATGATTGATCTGATTGATTTGATTTAACTCTATCTGGAATTCATTAAGATTGGATTAGATTAAAAAAGTGTTGAGATTTAAATTTAAAAAGTTAGCAAAGAAGATTAGAGTTTCAAGTTAAATAAAAATTAGAGTTTTAAAAAAAAATGAGTTAGAATAAAAAAAAAATATTTGAATGTTGGTTTTAAAAAATGTTAGAATTATTTTAAAAACTGTTAGAATTTAATTTTAAAAGGAATTTAAAATTTAAAAAAAAAAAGAAAAAGAAAAGGGCGTTAGAATTTAATTTTAAAAAGAATTTAGAATTTTAATTTGAAAAATAAAGGTGTCAAAAAAAGATTTAGATTTAATTTTAAAAAAAAAGGATAGATTTAATTTATAAAAAAAGGTTAGATTTAATTTTTAAAATAGTTAGAAAAAAAAGATTTAATTTTAAAAAGAAATTAGAGAAAAAAAAGATTTAATTTTATAAAAGTTAGAAAAAAGATTTAATTTTTTTAAAAAAGTTAGAAAAAAAGATTTAACTTTATAAAAGTTAGAAAAAAGATTTAATTTTAAAAAGAAGTTAGAAAAAAAATATTTAACTTTAAAAAAGTTAGAAAAAAAAGATTTAGTTTTAAAAAAAGTTAGAAAAAAATATTTAACTTTAAAAAAGTTAGAAAAAAAAGATTTAGTTTTAAAAAAAGTTAGAAAAAAATATTTAACTTTAAAAAAGTTAGAAAAAAGATTTAAAAAAAGTTAGAAAAAAGATTTAAAAAAATGTGTTAGAAATTAATTTAAAAAAGGTTATAAAAAAATTTACTCTTAAAGAAAAGAAAAAAAAATTAAATTTTAATCTAAATCCTAAAAGTTAGTAAGAAGAGCTTAAAATGATTTAAATAAATAAACTAAATAGAGAAAAAAAAGTTAATAAAAAAACATTAGTAAAGTTATAAAAAAAAAAATTTAATTAAATTATTATTAGTTAAAAAAACAAGATTTAAAAAAAGAAGGTTAATTTATTAAGTTAATCAGAATTTAAAATAAAAATAAAAAGAAAGGGTAAAATTTGGGGTATTACAGTTGCCCCTATTTAAATAGCTACACCGGATGATTTGAGTGGCGGAGACTCGAGGAATCATGGTGGAGGGATTTAAATATAGATAACCGAAAATTTTGCCCTTATATGTGGCGATATGCAATGCTATAGACAAAACGAGAACAGACTAATGCAGACAATGATATGATGCGTATGCTGGAATGATGAATTGCGAAAATGCTGACGAATACGACGACACAGGGACATACGCTACGAGAAGAACACACTGGGGAAAATGACGCGCTGGGACACAGTACAACACCGGGGAATTCTAAAATGATGGTCAACTGGTGCGAACACGACCAATTGTCATTTTTAGAACAGGAACGGGATTCTCAAATGGAGATGGCACCTATGAGACGGCCTCCACTGGGGAATCTAAAAGTAAAACTGAATCATGTACGACTGCAAGATCGATTACAGAATGCTGGAGCATTGAGCAAAGAATAACATCCAAGCTTCTGTAAACTATCTCTCGTGACAGGATCAAACGGACTTTTCGGGAATCCGTAGCAAATATACAGGGTAAAAAAACCGGCTGTATGACAAAATAAATGGACTTTGAGTGGTTAGAACAAAACCCTTAATAGTGATGGCGCTTATGCGATGGCCTCCACTCTAACAATGAGACTGGATCTACACGACTGCAAGATCGATTACAGAATGCTGGAGCATTGAGCAAAGAATAACATCCAAGCTTCTATAAACTATCCTTCGTGATGGGATCAAATGGACTTTTCAGAAATCCATATCATATATACAGGGTAAAGACCGGCTGTATGCCAAAATAAATGGACTTTGATGGGAAATGCCCTGATAAGCTTCTCGAGGGAGAACTGTCACTTATCGTTGGAAGGGACTTACATGCCAAAATGGATAAGCACTCAAAATAAGTGGCGGATGCTTATCTGATATATAAATCTTCTCATATTTAAGGTCGGCGCCTGGAATACGATTCTGATTCTTCTTTTACTAAAGGGTAAATGAACTTCCTCATACTTCAAGATCGTGCTCTCCTGAATATGATTCCGCTCCTTCTTTTACTAAAGGGTAAATGAACTTCCTCATACTTCAAGATCGTGCTCTCCTGAATATGATTCCGCTTCTTCTTTTACTAAAGGGTAAATGAACTTCTTCATACTTCAAGATCTGTGCTCTCCTGAATATGATTCCGCTCCTTCTTTTACTAAAGGGTAAATGAACTTCCTCATACTTCAAGATCGTGCTCTCCTGAATATGATTCTGCTCCTTCTTTTACTAAAGGGTAAATGAACTTCCTCATACTTCAAGATCGTGCTCTCCTGAATATGATTCCGCTCCTTCTTTTACTAAAGGGTAAATGAACTTCTTCATAATTCAAGATCGTGCTCTCCTGAATATGATTCCGCTCAAACCTCCCCGTACTTCAAGATCGTGCTCTCCTGAATACGATTTGGTTCAAACCTCCCTATACTTCAAGACAACAGGGAAAATGGAAGCCCAACTGCTCCATGGAGATGGCCATTTGCTGCGAGTCATAACGAAGATAGGATCGACTTCTTAGGTGAGAAATGTTGTATACCGATGTTGTAAGATGTAAAGTGTTGTAAAGTGTTGTAAATGTAGGATTGTAAAGTGTTGTACCGATGTTTTTCCAGGCGTGAACTGGCGTGTATCTGTAAAGGATTGTAGTTG